CTTCAATACCAAATTGCAAGGAAGATGAGCAATAGCGAACTTCAGCAATCAAACAGCATCATACAAACAAGACCAGATAGTCGAGACCTCGAACCAACAGCAGAATTGCATCACGAGTTTCACCAAATAAGAAGACACCAAGAGCTCATAATTGACAATGCTGGTAAGGTCTCATCATCATCATCAATGAAGAACCAATGTTGATATCCTATCTGGCGCTCGGCGCCCAGACTACAGATGGAAGATCCTATCTAGCCTAGACTACAATGCCGAAAGATGACGACAACAACTTTCCCGAAGAACGAGCATACAACGACCAATGTCGCACGCTTCCAGCACCACGTATGTCTCTCGCCTCACTCACAACCTCGTTCCCCAACACACAGATGCCACTTGCACCCAAGGACCACCCTGCGCCATACCCAGCTTACAGCAGCGCAGCTCGGCTATGGTTGCCTGCTCCTTCCTGCTCGCCCGTGAGCGCGTGAGTGCCAGCGGGCTTCAGCGCAGCATGCAGCCAGCACCCGAATGCCAAATGCGGTGGCAGGCCCTTTGCTGTATGGAAGTGGCCTGCCTGCTTGCTTGTCCCAGGCTGCGCTGGGCCTTTCCCAAGAAGCTTCAGGTCCGTCCCGAAAGGCTAAGACCCGGTCCACACAACTCAGACCTTGGGCCTGTAGTGGTTGCTCGTACCCAACTGTCAACGGCCTGTGTTTGGCCCAGTACCCGTACCCAGCCCAGGGCCTGCTTTCCATACATTCACATAGGCGGCCCAGGGCCTGGGTTTTCTCAACCAACTGGCGCTGTGCAACTGCCTGAATTTCCTTGAGTTGCGTGGTGACCAAAATAGGGTCCCTCGGGCCCTCGTCGTGCCTGCCTTTACTTAGGGCGGCCGACGTGATACTTGGCAGGGCCTGAATGGGGCTCATAGGGGCATATGGCTCGCATAATCTTTTTAATAGTTTTTATTCGAAATTTATTATCCTTTTTCGAAAATTTAACATCTCCCTTTTGTCACATTCCTGAAAAATATATTTTTCTTAATTTCATCACTTATTCTTGAAAAATCTAGGGTATCTGAGTGGCCTGGGTCCAGTTGCCCGGCCGGGCAAAAAAAAAAAAAAAAAAAAAAAAAAAAAAAGTTCTTTATTAAAATTTATATTTTAAATTTGGTAAAGAATTTCGATGTGACCCTGAGGCAAACGTTGTTCAGTTTATTTTTCTGCATAACATAGTTTTTTTTTGGATTTTTTAGGTTGTTTGTATTTGTTTTTTTTTGGCTGGGACCCTCCCTGGTCCTTCCACGACCATGCCGCTCGAGAAAATAGGGTGACCCGGGCGGCCTGGCTGGTAGCCTAGTGAAAAATTCAATTATTCGGATTTTTTTTTTCCCTTCACTTTTTTTTCCCTAAACCTTTCAAAATCCTCTTCATTTTCTAAATAAAAGCCTTCAACCCCCCCCCCCGGGCATGCCAAGCCAAACCAAGAAGTCTTAGTGCGCCGTCGCTGCTGCCGCTGCTACCGCCGCTAATGCGGCTACAGCCGCCTCCACCTCATCACCACCCGCTTCTCCGTCAACCGCCACTACCTCAGCCGTTTCCTTCGCGATGGCCGCTGAATCTAACATGAACATGACCTCCCTGAACACGCAGTTCGTCAATAGCCTCCGTCGCAAACTCATTGGCAAACAGGCTGACGTCCATGAGGCCCCCGTTGACTCTTCCACCTTCGACTCCCTCCAAGCGTCCCTCTCCGACCTTTCCAGCGCAATAACCACCACCGAACAACAACATGCCTCCTCCACCATCCAGGTCGTCACCACCACGCCCCCCTCCTCCGCTTCGGGCTCCATCACCCTTCCCCCACCCTCTGCCTCCATATCTACCTCTATTACCTCCTCCTCCACCTCCACCGCTCTCTTTGCTAGCACGTCATTCACGCCTTGGCCTTCATCCACCACCACCTCCACTATGGTCATCGCACCTCCCCCCTCGCCCACCACTCTTGTCCGGGTTCACTATAATAATACGACACTATTATATACAAACAAAGGTATCTATCGAACATATACTCATAAGTCAATGATCTTTCTTTTATATTATCAATAGTAGTAGTTCCACGTAAAGACTTTGAGGATCCTACACAGACATATGTTGGTTTCCTCGGATTGCCCTCTAATTGAATTTAATGAAGATTACTTACTATCTAGAAATTAAATTCATTTTATCTATTCGAGGAGTTTCCCGCATACAATAGAGTTTTCCTATTTCTAGTCACCTAGAAAGTAAGGCAATGAAATTACCTTAGGTGAAAATAATGCGCGTGCTTGGAAGGTCATCGGGAATGATACTTACCTGTGGTCGTGCCTTTTGTGCATTGCAGCGGGGGGTAGCAATAGGCTAGGCCTACGTAGTTGAAAAACATTCAAGTAGTCGGTAGGCTAGACCTGTGCAGCTTAGGAAACACTTCAGTAGCGGTAGGTAGGCAGAAGAAGACAAAAAGTTAGTTCTTCTAGAAATGAATAAATTTTAGAAGTCCGGTAGGCCTAGGTTTAGGGATGTAGGTCCAATAGCCTAAATCTAGGGCCTGTAGAGGACAATATCAGACCTGAAATGATGTTTCCCTTTGGAAGGAGGAAGGTACCGGATGCTTGGGAGACCAAGCGGCCTGGGAAGTCACCGCCTAAGAGGCAAGCTGCCCGGTATATATCCAGGAGGACCAAAAAGCTCCTCGCCATTTTGCTTTGCAAGTTTGGCATCATGCTGCTTGAGCGAGCGCTTCGCCATTCAACCGCTGGGGAGGAAGAAGGTAGTCTGTACCTTCACCTTCAACTATGGTGGACAGTGAGTGAGGTTCCACAGTGTAGGAGGAGGAAGAGAAGGTGGGCTGACGGAGGTACTTACCTAGTTGTGGTGGACAACATCTTCATCTTATTGGTTGACGTTGTAGCTGGAAGACACCAGTGGGGATGCGCCACTTCAAGGAAGACTCGAAGGCAGAATTAGGCATGGAGGTCAGAATGGAGGTGGGAATGAACAGTGACAGGACAACAAACAATCACCAGCCTCCGTTAAGGGAGCATCAATAACAGATGGTGGACATTATATCTTACCCTATCAGCGGCGGACACAAGCAAAGAAACAACCTCAATGCAACTGAGGTATTCTCAGAGTGTGTATTTCGAATGTGTGCGCTGTCACCGCTGTGTCCTCCCTTACCATTAAAACAAAAACCCTCGCCGTCACATAGTCGTCGAACACCCCCCCAAATCAAAACCTCTCTTGACTTCGTCCACCATCACCTCCACCCTCCCCACCTATACCCAAATCACTCCCATGCCACAAGCTTTGTATCCCGCCCTTCCACTACTTCCCCAAAACGCTCTCATTCCCACCAAACCCGCCAACGATTTCACCCGGATTGCTTCCTCCTCCCCCACCCTTGACTTCAACGCCCTCGCCGCCACTACCCCCAAGGTCGGCAATATCCCTCCATCATTTCGCGCCAATGAGATCCCCACCTTCTCCAGCCAACCCCACGAGGATGTCTTCCTCTTTCTCACCAAACTCCAACAAGCCTTCTCCCTCTACAACGTTCCCGTCATCCACTGGCTTCCCATCGTCGTTTCCATACTCCTAGACGGTGTCGCTCGCTGGTGGAACACAAAAATGTCCAACCACCATCATGTCAGTCTTCCACCTCACTCCTTCCTTTATTGGGCCACCATGATCACCTCCACCTTCCGTCCACAAAAAACAGTCAATGACTACCTCGACCAATTCTATTGGCTCCACCAAAACGGGCCAAGGACCGTTTTGTTCAATACGTCCCCTCACTTCGTCAACACATCCCCATTGACGTTATCAGCGACACCGCTTTCATCTCCTGATTCAAGAGGGTATGTTGCAAGGACCTATAGACAACCCTTGTCCACGAGCCCTCCGTGACCCTCGCCGACCTCCTCACTCGTGCCCTCCAAGTCGACCGCCTCCTCTCCGGCAATTCACTCACCACGTGAGCAAACCTAGGACATCCACTCCTTCGAACGCCGCTGGACCTCACCCCTCCTCAACATGACCTGTGTATCCTTGATCTCGGCGAGCACCTTCCGCCACCAGCGCCATTCTTTACCCCGCCAGATGAGATCATCACCGCCACGTGCTCTTCCACCCTCCTCCCCAAACCCTCTTCCATTACCTTCTCTGATCATCTGATGTTGTTAAAGAACAAGCCCCACACGATCGGCTTGTTAGACTAGGCTTGGAGCAATGCCGCCTCAACACTATGATCTGCTTTGCTTGTGCCGGAACCGCTCAATTCCAGCTCAGGTTTGTCTCCGTCTCTCTTGGCGCAACTACAATGAAGTTTCGGGCCCTCCTTGATATTGGTGCCACCGATAACTTCATCACCAACGCCTGTGCCAGCAAAGTCGGTCTCTCTTCTACCGGCTACAACTCCCCTATTACTATCTGACTCGGGGACAAGGACTCAACCATCGTTGTTGATCGCACTGTTCGCGAGATCACCATGACTATTGGGCCCCATTCGAAGTTAGATCTCCTTCGATGTCATGAGCCTCATGTGTTACATGTCCTGGGAACTCCTTGGCTTGACCATTACACGCCTTACTCATTCCATCCATCATTTTTTGCCTTACTACATCTCCCGACGCTATCCTCGACATTCCTTACCTTCTTCCTCCTACTACCCCACCACCCATCTCCCCTCATCAGTTCCTCCACATGAACCGCCAATATCCCGACTCCGCCTACTATTGCTTCGTCATTGATTGTGAGCGTCCCGAGCACCTGCTTCCAATGGACAAGCCAGACCAAGCGCCTCCTTCCAACCCACTCATCACTTCCCTCCTCATGGAGTTCAAGGTCGTCTTTCCCGAGTCCTTGCCCGTCGGTCTCCCTCCTAATCATGGTTTCTCTCACACCATCGATCAAGAATCCGGCCACAGTCCCCCCGTCGGCCACCATACCAACTCTCCGTCCCAGAGGCGAGGAAATGAAGCGGCAACTCAATGAACTCCTTGAAAAAGGATTCATTAAGCCTAACTCATCACCCTTCGGTACCAGTTGTCTCTTCGTCAAGAAAAACGACACCTTCGACTCCGCATGTGCACAGACTACCACACCTTGAACCGGATCACGATCAAGAACAAGTATCCACTACCCCGCATCTGTGAACTTCTTGATCGCCTCCGTGAAGCCAAACATTTCACGAAGATTCTCCTCCGCAGTGGCTTCCACCAGATCCCCATTCGCGAAGAAGATACTCATAAGGTTGCCTTCCGCTCTCGCTTCAGGACCTACGATTTCCTTTTGATGCCTTTTGGCCTCACAAATGCCCCAACGACCTTCCAGTCTACTATGAATCACATCTTTCGCGATCTTCTCGAAGTGTGTGTCGTCGTCTATCTTGATGATATCCTGGTCTTCAGTCCCACCTTCGAGACTCACCTTCAACACATCCGCCAGGTCCTCTTTATCCTTAGAAACCGAAAGTTTTATGCCAAGCTCAACAAATGCACTTTTGCTGCCTCAAGCGTAGAATACCTTGGCCACATTGTCTCCGCTGATGGTATCCGCATGGACCCCTCGAAGGTCACCGCCTTATCTAGTTTCCCCCACCTACGATTTTGCTGCAACTTCGTTCCTTCCTCGGTCTTGCCAACTACTACCGCCCCTTCATCCATGACTTCTCTGGAATTTTCTACTCCCTGCACGAGCTCACTTGCAAAAACAAGCCTTTGCAATGGAATGGACGTCGTTAAGCCGCCTTCGACCTCCTCAAACAAGTCATTACCACCGCCCCTGTCCCCAAAATTGTTGACCCCTCTCGACACTTTTATGTTACCACCGATGCCCCAGACTTTGCTCTTCGATTCGTTCTGTTCCAACACTTCCCTTGCGACATCCCGGACCCCCTCCATTAAGGATTCCCCCACCCACTTTGAGGCTCTACCTGACGAGTATCCCATCGCATTTGCAAGCAAGAAGCTCATCCCCACCAAGATGAATTATCCCTCCAATGAGAAGGAACTCCCCGTCGTCATCCATGCCCTCAAAGTCTGACACCCATACCTCGACGGTCAGCACTTCACTATCCCTACTGACAACACCATCGTCTCAAGCATACTCACCAAGAAAGATATCACACCCTGCCRAACTCGATGGTTAGACTTTCTTGCTTTGTTTACATTTACCATTTGTCACACCCTTGCCAAAAGCAATCACGCYGTCRATGTCTTCTCTCGACCGCCTGATCACAAACCCCCTTAGAGAGTCTATGCTGCCATGATCCATGTTTAATTCCTACCTTCAAGTTCACTCCACACCGCTACAATTACGGGTACTCTTCATCCCCTAATTTCTCTACCATCTACAACAAGCTTCGTGACTTCGACAGCGTCCCCGACTACTCCTTCCATAACAACCTCTTGTACATTAACACTAAAGGCACTCCCCGACTTTGTATCCCTAACGCACGTGGTCTTCATGCCCAACTCTTGGTCGAACACCACGACCGCAGGAGACCTTGGTTTCCTGAAGACATTTGACACCGTCTCTCGCTACTTCTACTGGCCCTCACTCCTCGCCGACGTCAAAGATTACATCCGCTCATGCCTCACTTATCAAGCAGTCAACCCCTCAAACCAGGCCGAGCCTGGTAAGCTCTAGTCATTGCCTATCCCCACCCATTGGTGGCAGCCTATCTCTATGAATTTCATGTGCAGTCTATTCAAGACCGACCACGGCTATGACTGCATCTACGGCATTGTCTGCCGCTTGACCAAGCGGGTCCATTTCATCCTGTGCATCACTTCTCACAATGCCAAAGACGGCACCACACTCTTCTTCGATCATGTCGCACGCCATCAGTCTCCCCCAAAACATCATAAGTGACCATGATCCTCGTTTCCTTTCCCAATTCTGGAAAAGCCTGTTCAAAGCCTACCACAAGAGTCTCAAGTGCAGCACTGCATTTCATCCCCAGACAAATGGCCAGACTGAAAAGATGA